ATTATGCAGTAGTCAACGTGAAGCTTATGTCTGACAACTGTGTGTGTACAAAACATCTAGCTACCAATCCCACGGGATCTTCTACGTGTCGAGACATGGCGGCCCAGGAATCCATCACTGGCTAGCAAACATACACCGTCCTCAATATGTCTAGTACACTGCGGTTGTATTTGCAATGCAAATGATTTTGCGCAAAAATGCAGCTCCGCATATCTAAATCCTTGCTTTATTAGTTTTTGTGTGACTTTGTAATTTCGCTCACAAAATTGCTCGTAACCACTGCATATTCTACCTATACATACAAGTTGGGAAATATATACACCATAAGCTGGTTTAGATGGGATGTTAGAACTCATATTTGGAAAATTCACGATCTCAAAGTGAAAACTATCCCTCTTATCGTACAACGTAGTAGAATATATCCCATGTTCTATAGTAATAAATATATCTCAGTAGGAAAGTGTAGTTGGGCTCTCCGTAGTTTTCCATGACAACTACATGTTTGTAAACAATAACAAATAGCCTCAGGCACTTTTCTTTAATTCACTCCTCAAACTTGCTAACGGTAGCACGCATGGAGATGTAACTTGGTACGCATGCGTATTATATCGTTTCCATGACTACAACATATTGTTGCAAATAGTCTCAGGCAATTTCTAAAACATTACTTCTTCACTCAACAAACTTGCTAACGGTAGCACGCATGGAGATAATCTAGGTATACATGCGTATTATATCGTTTTTATGACAACGATGCATTGTTTGAACAATCACACATAGCCCCAGGCACTTTCTACTTCTTCACGCACTAACAGTAGCACACATATAAATGAAACTTGGTATGAATGTATATTGCATGGTTTCCATGACGACCGCATATACTTTGATCTCCTCAAACTTGACAGTAGCATGCATGGAGATGGTGCGGTGAACAAACACAGAATGCCTGGTCACACCTGCGTTGTTTGTGTCAGAGGAAGCTATACGTAAAGTCGAACGTGACACAAAGTAGCAGCGAGAGTCGACTTTGTGGCATGAAGTTAGACGTTACAGAGTTACAGCTTCACGGTTTGGTGACACAAGTACACTTTCTTGTATTAAAAAAGCATACACAATGCCCCAGAAATGCACCATTCTGTGTTGGTTCTCCGCTAGTAAGGTGGATTCTCGCACCTCGTGTAGCATTCGAACGAGCGTAAACTGCCGTCCGTTTGCGTGCATTTAAAAAGAATATACGGTACAAAATGGACGCTATGCGCTACACGCGCACCGATTTCTCCGTTCACCGCAATACATTAATGGTGACTACCGGAGAGCAACCGGATGTGACGCCATCATGTAATTAAATTCCTTTATCGTTGTGTGCAAAAGGCCTATTAAAAAAGAGGCATATAGGGATGGTATAAAAGAAAGGAAGAGATGGAATACATGAAGCATGGTTAATGAACAGATTTGAGCATGCTGACACCCCCGACCCCATCACACAATCCCTATATTGTTGAAGTATTAAACATTCATCAGTAGCTTGAAAAGTTATGCTACTGAGTTACAAACACCGTTATTGAAGACTGCAAACAATATAGGGCTTGTGTGATGCGTGCCGGGGGTGTCAACGTGCTCAAATCTGTTTGTTAACCATGCTTCATGTATCAAATCCCTATCTTGTCTCCTTTTCTTTTTAATACCATCCCTATATCCCTATCACTAAGTACGGTAGTACTTAGTATATAGGGATTGACATGGTACCTAGCATCATAGATGTATGGCGCTATAATAGGCACTTTTGTTCATCTTCTCCTCCTCCTTCTTCTTCTTCTTCAGATTCAACACCCATAACTCAAAAACGAAACAACATAAAGTAATGAAATTTTGTAAGAATCTAGATATTCATCACCCGAAGAGACTGGTCATACTTATTTCTTTGTAAACAACATTGTTTACAGTAAACAACAACAAATAGCCGCAGGCAATACATTATAATGGGATCACATGTGTCAGTATAACTCGCAAATGGTAAGAGCTATGTGAACGAAACTTTGTAGACATAATGTATTCAATCACCAACATCAAAATCACAACAGTACATGTTTGTAAACAACAACAAATAGCCTCAGGCACTTTCTTTAAATTTACTTCTTCACTCCTCAAACTCTCCAATGGTAGCACGAATAGAGATGAAACTTGGTATGTATGCCTATTATATCATTTCCTATTATATCATTTCCATGACAATTGCATATTTCCATGACGACCGCATTTTGTTTGAAAAAGCCTGGCAATTTTCACTTCTTCACTCCTCAAACTAGCACGCATGGAGGTGAAACTTGGTGCGCATGTGTATTACATCGTTTCCATGACGACCACGACAACAAATAGCCTCAGGCACTTTTCTTTAAATTTACTTCTTCACTCCTCAAACTCAGCACACATGGAGATGAAACATTGTATGCATATCATTTCCATGATGACAACATGCATTTTTTCTCTATTACTAATTTTTATAGGGGCTTGCCCCCTTCCAATAATACGTAGTAGTATATAAAAATGAGTGGAGACAAGTAAATTAAAAATCCTGCGAAATTAAAAAAAGAGGCATATAGGGATGGCATAAAAAGAAAAGGAGACAAGATAGGGATGGGATACATGAAGCATGGTTAATGAACAGATTTGAGTAAGCTGACACCCCCAACCCCATCACACAATCCCTATATTGTTGCCTAGGTGAAGTATTAAACATTCACCATTACAATACTCAGAACACTACTGAGTAACCAACACCCTTATAGAGTCCAAGTGGAGTTTAATTAAAGGTAATGTGGCAGTATAAATGTTACTAAAAACAACAGGAACACAGGTGAAAGAATGCTTGCTTTTAGTAACCTTTAGCCCTACGAGTAGCACACCAGGCAACAATATAGCTAGGGATTGTGTGATGGGGTTGGGGGTGTCAGCTTATTTAAATCTGTTCATTAACCATGCTTCATGTATCCCATCCCTATTTGTGTCCTTTTCTTTTTATGCCATCCCTATATGCCTCTTTTTTTAATTCGCAGGATTTTTAATTTACTTCTAATATCTTCAATTCACAGGATTTTCAATTCACTTGTACGCTGCAACTTCCCCATGAAACTCTATATGATACATATTTGTTAACTACAAAACTTCCCTCAGGCACTCTTCTTTAATATTACTTTTTTACTCATCAAACTTGCAAGCAAAAATCTTGTTAAATTGAAAAAAAGAAGGAATATAGGATGTGGGAGACAAGAGAGGGATGGGGTTAATAAGCATGGTTTATGAACATCATGTGATATAGAGAACAAAACTATATTGATTAGGGCATTACTGAAAAATATGTAAGGATGCAGTAGCCAAGTATAAGCGTAAATGGTCGCGTAGAGAAAGAATAGACATAAGAGCATTAAATGAGTGGGAGTGTAAGGTAAAAGAATGTGTTCAGAATAGAATTGCCTCGCTGAAGAGAAAGCATATATGGATATCCTGAAAAATAGAGCACATTCAAGGTCTCTAGAAAGGCTTCATAATAAGTATGTGTTAGTACCGGCTAATAAGGCAGCACAAAATGTGATTAACCCTCGGCGCGCATGCACAGCGAGGGTGGGTCTGTGTGTGTGTGTGTGTTACTCTCCATCTCACTTCTCGAGTGTTCGTTCGTGTCACGAAGGATACCAACTACTCAACGGGCAACAGAATGTTCGAACCATTTTCTCTGAAACTGCTCCATTGCAAAGCTAGAGCGCGAAAAAGCCAATATGCAAATATGCAATGGACGGGAAGGCTTACTACGGTCCGATCGATCCGCGTGCTCTGCGCACCTCGGAGGCACCAGAAGATGCAACGCAGGGCGTGTATCGCCTCTCGCATGCTATCTAGTAGTGTAGTTAGCCCGCGTCAGGCTCTGCGTGAGCTGGCAAGAGACCATGAGTAACAGCTAAAACTAAACCCAGCCCATCAATTAGTGGTACGGTGCATGCAATTACTTACGCGTGCACGTCACAATGCGCCGAGGGTTTGCACTTCTGCAGTGCTTTTTATTATAGTTTGTAAGAAGTATTATTTGGAAGTTGTATTAAAAGAAATTGACACAACTATCACATATTAGCATGTTATGGAGGAATGTCAGGCATTGTTGATAGACAATATTTTTTTAATAACCACGCATTGATGTACGACCTGAATATAGATGCTTGCCTTTGTTTTATTGGCTTCCAAAGCTTCATAAATTGCCTTATGGTACTAGGTTCATAGCTGCATCACACAGGTGCACTACAAAACCTTTGTCCAAACTACTTACTAGCTGCCTTAAACTAATTACCAACCATTATAAACAATATTGTAACGGCATTTTTTGTAGGACTGGAGTAATTGATAACTCCCATTAATTATTTTCTACGGCCATGCATTTTGATAACTACGACTTCTCTACATTGCATTCCACATGTAGCACTCAAATAAGCTTTAGAGACTCTAGTTCAGGAAGCATACATGTGAGAGACAGTCAGTTCATTATAGCAGATAGTACTGGATATGCGTACTGGTCTAATGTACCATCGAACTCCTCATCGAAACAGAATATTACTGAAGAGATGCTAGTCGCATATGTGGAATACTTGATAGATAATATTTTATAGGTAATAGAATATATAGACAGGGTACAGGGATTCCAATGGGAACAGATTGTGCGCCGTGGGTGGCAAATTTGTTTCTGTTATATAGATTTATGAAGAATATGATAAAAACGAATTTGATTCTGGCAAAAAGATTTAGTAACACAATGAGGTATATTGATGATTTGCTGACATTGAATAACACATCGTTTAATTCGGCATTGATGACATATACCCAGAGGAGCTTAACTAAAAGAACACTGATCACCAACAACACTGTCATACTTAGATATACATATAACTATAACAAATGGGAAATATTCCACGGCAGTATTGTAAATTTTCCATATCTAAGTTCCAATATTCCATCTGGACCAGCATACGGAGTTTATATTTCCCAATTAGTACGTATAGGTAAAATATGTAGTGATTACTCGGATTTTACGTTGAGACATTTCAAACTAACGGAACGACTGATTCATCAAGGATACAGATACTCTGATTGGTGCAGGTCCTTTTATAAGTTTGCTAAAAAGCACGCACAAATTATGATTAAATATAGCTGCGGCATACGCAAACATGTGGAGGATGGTATATGTCTGCCAGCAATGGATAGATTCCTCAGTCGCATAGATAGAATGTATATTTATAGTCACATATTTATTTTGAATAATCTATTTTTAACATTTCTATTTCTACCATTTCTACTATTATTTATATTATTTATATTTTTCTTACACGTGTATATGCTGTGCGTTATTTAGAATAATCGCACGTTTTTTATGTCTCCGTCGTGTCGTCGTGCTGCGTGAGTTTCAGAGTTTTTATATTTTTCTATGAGTTTATTGGTCCTTTGAGGCTTTCTATTTTTCTACCGGCTGTTGTTTTTAGCTGTCGTTTTTTGTACATGATTTCTATCTATTTATTTTATAACTATGTGTAAGGGAGGTTGGGACACTGGGTGTGTAAGGGAGAGTTGGGCCCATAAAAGACTCTTTAACCTACCGCCCCGTTCTCAAGGCTGGGCACCCAGGGTCCTGCCTCTTTCTTTCTGTTTATATGTTATTGTCTGTGTTTTTGTACGCTTGGGTATGTTATTGTCTGTGTTTTGTGTGCTTGGGTGGGGGAGGTTCTTTCTTTTCCTCTGAGCTAGTATGCTATAAACATGTTTTTTCATGTGGTGAACCTCTTGCTTGGAACTCAATTCTGATAGCATAGTCAACAATTTCACCTAGTGGCTTAGCAGTGGACTTCAGAAAATCTTGGAAAAGTGAATTCAGTCTGTATTGAAAGTGTGTAGCTGCAGTAACTGGGTTACGCTTTAGCCAATTGGATTTGTCATCAAATGAAAGTGCAGCTACATCATCATCAGTGTAATACACACCATACTGCTTTGCAATGGTTTGGATCATATCTGGCCACTTGAGGTCTGCTGCTGACAATGTGAAAAACCATGTTGGTGTGCCAAGCTGGCGTATCATGGCTAGAAAATCATAAAATGTTCGCTGGTAATATGGTGGGGAGCCACATATATTTTTCATAAATGAGTAAGCTTTGTCTTTTCGCACATACTGACCTAGTATTGTTTGGTCTTTAGCTTGTGCAGCTGTGAACTGTCTACACGGCTTTTGTCTCATGGCAAACATATTTCCATCATCTAGCACTTGCTTAGCTTCAACAATATACTGTGCAACAAACAGATAATCAAGGTCTCTAGCTAATCTGCCATCAACATCCAATAGCCTTTGATTGAAATACTTTCTATAGGTTAGCTTTCTTGGCCGATCACTGCTAAATGTGCCAGTACCATATGGAAATTTGCCTGGGTTTGACATGGCTTCAAAAGTAAGATCAGTCATTATGTTTAGTGGTCTCTCTCCTTCAGCTGGTGCAACACACACGGTATGTCTAAAGCTTTCAGGGTTTTCAACACACATCATGCTAGCTTGCTGGGCACCACTGATTTGCCTTCTATGCTCATCTCCTTCTTCAATAGTGGCATCATCTAGCTCATTATCAGCAACAGATTCTGGCTGTGGTTCAATAGTTTCAGGCACAGTAGGTTGTGGCTGCTCAGGTATTTTGTCCAAACCCACATAATGGTACTGCATTATCAGCCCAACAAACACTTCATTATCAGCACAATGGTTTCTGGGAGTTACTGAATACATGGGATAGTGGCTAGACAGTACATTGATAGTCACATTGAGCATATCAGATATAGCCTGCATAGCAATGTTGTCACCCCAGGCACCTTGTTTTAGACATCTCAGATATTTTTGCCATCTAAGCTCTGTTTGCAATTCAGGGTCTGCAATACTGTCAATATACTTGTCCTCTTGTATTTGAGGTTCAGTGTCTGCATTATAGTCATCACTAGAGTCTGCATTTTGAGCTACCGGCTGACACAAAAAATCACAATATGATGTTAGCTCCCAAGTAGTCAGCTACTGTTTGTCTTAATGTATT